ACTCTCCATAGCACTTTTCTTGGAACTTTTTTCTAAATTAATAAATATCATATGTAGATCCTCCTTATTCTCTCTATACTTCTCCATCAAACCTCTCAATAAATGTATAGCTTCCATAGTAGACTGTAGACCTATCCAGCATGAATCCAAATTGATTTTGAGAATCATTAATATCACATCATAACCTATGCTCCATAATTCTCTCATAATTTTAAAGTATGACACATTAACTTAATTCATCTATAATTCGCATAATCTTGTGCATAATCTTCATTCTTAAAAATAGGAATCAACAGACTCATTCTCCACTCATCTGACATCATTTTAGTCTTCAAAATAATATAAAAAAGATTAGTAAGCCAAGAAATTCCTTCATCTCCTAAATATTTCCACACCCCTATTGGAATATCATCACGGACAACAACTTTTCCACACTTTATTTTCTTTAAAGCCTCTCTAATCTTGGAGAAATTTTTAATTATGAAACCATTTAACTATAAATTATGCAAAATTTTGTTTGTTCCTAAATTGGATCAAAATTTGGCAAGTTAATTATCTAACTGACAATCTTTATACTGCGAATTTCCACTCTTTAACGATAAATTGGCATTCATTACATCATTTAGTTGCATTAGAAACTCTAGCTCTTAAGACATTCTAAATTATCCTACCTAACAAATGTTACTAAATGTGCATATCATGTCACTTTGATTCCTAGGCAGACAATTTCTTTTTCAAACAAATTCTAGAATGCCACATTTAGTAGCTCAATAAAAATGTCAAGTGGATTTATAAGTACATTTATTATTTTATAAATTTTGATTTACTAATTTTATAAACATCAATGCTAGCATTAAATTTCTTATTTTGTTACCAATGTAGTTTTTCATCAAGATGTTACATTCTTCACTTCGATCTTGATGCAAATCATTTAGGATAGCTTCTTCATGTATTAATGGCCTGTTTGGTTGCAAGTATTAGGAGTATAGAGTAAACTAAATGCAAGAGTTTTGAAATTCTAGATGTTTTGGTTGAAAGAAAAAATTTTAGAATACTTTTTTAGGGATTTGTAATTCCTTGCTTAGTTCATTTTCCCTCCATTCTTTTTTAGGGATTTGTAATTCCTTGCTTAGTTCATTTTCCCTCCATTCTTTTTTAGGGATTTGTAATTCCTTGCTTAGTTCATTTTCCCTCCATTCTTTTTTAGGGATTTGTAATTCCTTGCTTAGTTCATTTTCCCTCCATTCTTTTTTAGGGATTTGTAATTCCTTGCTTAGTTCATTTTCCCTCCATTCGGAATTCACCCAAATTGGGGGGAATTTCTAATAATTTGCTTCATCACACAACCACCTCTTCACTAATGAGACCTTGCAACACAGTGAGAAAAGCAAATGCAAAGACCATGCCCACCTCAATCTTTGCAGCTACTATGGACATCGTCAACCTCCATCCCTCTTCACATCCACCGTGATACTTTGATACATCTCGCACATCCACGTAAAACAGCATGATACCGCTAGACCTTGTTATTATCTCACGCTTCTTCACAACATAGGGCAACACCACAAACAACATTGAGATGTTTGTCCCTCTCCGACCTCGCTAAACCTAGCCTCATCATCTTCTGACACCCCATTGCCGTGTCGTAACTATACATCAATTTTATTTTATTTTTTTAATATATTAGATTCATCACTTCCAATCAAACATATCAAAATGATCTCTTAAATTCATTTGACAATAAACCAAATAACTTCTGAGTATTATAAAAACATTGTATCTAAAATACCCTGAATTTTAAATACTTGCAAACAAAGAAAACCTAAATTTATAGCTATATCCTATAGATCAATTTTATACGCCCTTATAGTATTGTCAGTTAGTTACAATGTGCAACAACATGGCCATTCAAACCTGAATCATGCAAGGAATCAGAAATATCAACTGCAGAAAAGGAAACATTTACAGAAATGCTGCAATGAAAGTGAATTAACATGGTAGAGTACACCAATACTAACTGATGGGGACATCAGATCATCATGAAAAGTTTATTAGAGACGTGACCGCCGATCTACGATTGTGTCTTTATATTTTTTGAGTCATTGATGTATTTTATTTTCATGTATTTTGTTATTTGCTTATGTGGTTTTATTATTTTCCGTTGTACCCCTCTTATGGGAGTTGTCGTATGTAAGCCCAAAGGGCATTTGTGTCTTTTGTTTTGAGTCATTTGTATGAGGCTATTTAAAGCCCCACCTTGTTCTATTTTGAGTTGATGAATGAATGATTGCTTAAAAAAAAATTTCTTCTTGCATGAGCATTGAGAGCTTGAGAGTTCTAATGGAGAGAGCTTCCTAGGAGAGGAAGAGGATTCGTGCAATACCCACCAACCTAGATAAGTCGGGTTCGTGGCTTCTTTTGTTTATCTCGTTTTCTTCTCTCCCTTTTGTTTCTTCTTTCTTTGTCTTTCTTTTACAACCACTTAGCCACCGGATTTCCTCCTCGTTTGAAACTCCATCCTTTTTCTCCCTACCCTCACGGCCGAGCACCCAACCCGAATCCCCCATCCCGCCGGCTCCAACCTTCCCACCGCCGACCGCCCCACTCCCTCTTCCCCTTTCACCTCCATTGCCTAATTGGGATTGAGTATTTTGTGGACAGATTTTGAATTCAAAATTATCTATTTGAAATTTAAAATCTTGCCTAAAATGCCAAATTTATTTTAGGAAAGTTCATAATTTAAACTCATTTGAATTTGAAATTTAAATTGGGTAGAATTATTTACTTTCCTAAATCATTAAACCAGATTAAGAAGCCTTTAATACTCTCATTAAATGCTCCAATATTACCTCCTGCCTTCGGCCCCTATCAGGGCTTATTTTGATTTATTTCCAACCTCCCTCCCCAACTCTTCTTGGAAATATTTCCAAGTCACAGCCACCTCTCCATAGCCGATTCCTGCTGAACCTGTTAATCAAATTGTTTTCCAAAAGGGGCTCTCTCATTTTGGAAACAGATTAACGTCCTTTTCTTTTTCCTTGCCTCCATCCTCCCATCTTTCTTTCCCCTTGTTCAAAACAATTACAAATCCAATCCCCTCTCTCTCACGGCCATGCATTGCTGGACTAAAGTCTAAAGCTCTCCTTCTAATTCTCCTTACTCCCAAGCATAGAAACCTGAGATTCTTCTCAGATTTTGGTTTCAAATTTTGAAATCCTTCCTAGAATTTTGAAAGGAGGCTTGTGACTTAACCTCTCTCCACTTGCAAGAGAATCTTCTTTCTCTTTGCCACCATTCAAAAGGTGTATCAAGGGCTAAGGAGATTATACTCCGATCACCTATGAATGGCGGATCCGGAAACTGACTAGGGCATAACTTGGGATAAAGACGGCTACGTAGATATCCTACAATCTACGCTCTTCGACGTGAACCCGAGAGTTGATTTCACCGTAGAGGATTATTTGGAGCGCACATTGATATACTTGGTAGAGGCTATCGACGAACATTTTGAAGGCATTGAGTGGAGGATCTCCACTAACCCTTGACGAAGGTTTCTTCTCTCCCGAATGTCTTATTTCTTTTAGTCTAAATTCTCATTGGTTTGATTGCAGTCACGATGGGCTCCTCCACAGCTCTTGCTTAAGCTTAATAATCGTAGGAATTGAGCGCACTTTCAATGCATCCTAAATCTCGTTGTTAGATTAGGGATTAACTTGAAGACTACTATTTTGTGTTGTTTTATTTTTCTTATTTATCTTGAAAATTTCAAAACTCAGAGCATGTGATTTAGCCTAAGCAAAATATCTCCTTACTTGTTTTGAATCTTCATTTTAGAACTGCTAGCAATTTCATTCTCATATTATTCTAATCAAGAGTTGTGCAATGTCTAAATGATTACATAACCATCTCATCTAAGTAGTTCTGCATCACTAACACTATATTTCTTTAGTTCTCTAGGTGATTCTTCATTTATATGATATCTTCTTCACTCCCATATTGCGAGAAATACTTTACCATGTACATCTTTATGGTTTAAATGTACAGCTATATCCCACATAGAATTATTATCAACTGCTCTAGTATTACAAGGAAGTTGCAATGTACAACTGCATAGCCATAAGCCATGCAAGCATGAATTACTCGAGGAATCGGAACATCAACTCCAGAAAATGAAACGCTTACAGTTATGCAGCAATGCAAGTAAACTAACTTGCTAGGAAATATTAAGTTTCAAGTTAAAGACAGAAAGCAAACCACTAAACGTGATTACAATGACATTATCACAATATATTGTTGCATTAACACTGTTTGTCCTTTCTAAACAACTCATGAAAAACAACCAAACAAGGTCATAATGACATTACCACAATATACTGTTACACTTTTAGTCCGTTCAAAACAACTTATGAACAACCAACTCATAAAAAACCACTAGACGCAATTGTGATGACATTACCAGAAAATACCGTTACGTTGTAAGTGCTTTCAAAACAACACATGAATAGGCAGGCTAATGATGTTTTCTAGACAAAAACCAAATAATAACTATAAAACAACTTTGAGTCACCACTTTCAGATTCATTCGTACTAAACACAACAAGCTGAGATCCTAATGCAATAAATGTTATAAATTCTAAAGAGAAAAAACCTAAATTCATCATCAAAAGCAGCCGTCATTGACTTATCCCAAGGTAACTGAAACAGCTTTCTTCATCCTTAATTGGATTCAATTCAATTAGACCTATATTCTAACAATTCAGCCAATACACTCCTAAAGGTTTCTATGTTCCTAGACAAGAACATTGGTATGCTGTCCCTCCAAACATATTTGGCTTAAACCAGAATGTCCAACCTACTGAAGGATACAGTCCAACATGGTTTAAAAAAAAAAAAAACTCAAAAATAAATCTTGAATTTTTAGGCACTACACATGCTTTCTTTCTTAGTATCGACATAATTAAAACATACAATAATCAAAATATCAAAAGAAAAAACTGTACCTTTTCCAAGGTCATCAGGATCAGCATGGACAACAACAGCCCTTCCAATGATGGAGTTTGGGCCAGTGAGAGGAATCTGTAACATAAAATACCATAACAATTCAAAGAGCAAAAATCGGATGGAGGGTGGTGCAACGTTATAAACCTCATAAAACAAAAAACACAGAGACAAGAGTATACCTGTAAATCCGAAACTTCAACTGTTGCAGTCCCTGAATCAGAAAAAGAAGATCAATCTCATATGAATGAATGCTTGTATGCATGATAATTCATAGTTTGAAAAGATCACACCTAAAATAAATTCTTACATATATATATAATCTATAAACCAAAATACTACTTAAATTGCATGGAAGATAATATCAACCTCATATTGAAATATTTGAAAAAGAATGTTTGAAAAAAAAAACAGACCTCGCCTCAAAGTATAACTTAAAAAATAGCGTATGGTTTAATAAAATATAAAAACTATGATAGAAACAATACCATCCTCTCCAGCTTTCACGTTTCCAAGATCACCAGCATGACGGTTCTCATCTTCAGGAGCTCCGTGTTCTTTTCCATCAGGATTAAAATGAGCACCTGCATTATCATGGAAAAGACTAATGACAATTATAATAAAAAACTTAATAAAGAGCTTTGCCAAGATAAATCATGATAGAAACATAATAAACCCAGATATGCAGCACAGCACCAGTGGACAAGCAGCCGTTTGTAGTGTCACCAAAGCCATGAACATGGAAGCCATGAAGCCCAGGCTTAAGACCAGAGATGACTCCAGTAACTTTAGTTGGACCTGAATCAGACAAAAAAGTTCAAAATATCATTAAACTTCTAACTGTAACTGCAAATAAGAATTTAAGTCCTATAGATAAATTTTTTATGGCTTCTAAATTTACCATCTCCTTCCTGCGCAAAAAAGATTGTGCCCTTCACTTCTTCCGAACCACTAAGAACAGCTATAGCCTTCACCATTGTTTTCTGTGATCTATGTACCCAGTAATGGATAAGAGAATGGTTTAGAAAGAATAACATGAAAAAAAACATGGCAAAAAATAGATTAAATCCAATGTCCAAAACGATACCAAGAAAATGAAGTGAAGATATTCTTTGTTCATAAATGATTTGAACAAAAACTTACGAATATCAGAATGCTAACATTGACCTGTGGTGAATTAGAAAGGATGTACTAAAAAATAATAATCATATTAGAGAGGCCAAGAGAATAACATTTATTAAATATATGTTTATCTGAAGTAGATTCAACGGGATAGACAAATTCATCAAATGGTAAAAAAAATGAACTAATAAAAAAGACAGATACAATTAGTGTCAATAAGTACTATTACATGACGAATTTTGACACAACAAATGTAAAATGATAATACATAAAGCCGAATGTATAAAACTAATGATGATGATCAGCATGAAAAAGCTTCGCATGCCATAAGTTATTAGATCATTATATGCATGCGTATTCCCTAAATTTGCATGGGACAGAACATTCCCAGATCATGAATATACCTTAAGAATCAACCTACAAAATACAGATCAAGAAACATCGACCGATCTCCAGAAAGGACATTCGACAGATGCGAAAAAGTTATCTACGACAAGAGAAAAACAAATCCAGAGCCTATCGAAAGATGGATCAATTGAAGAACGATCTAGGGTTTACCTCAGGTGACCCCTTCGCGATTGGAGAGTAGGCAAGCACGCAGCTACCAACCACTCGGTTCTGCTTCTGCTTCTGCTTCTGCTTCTGCTGCGGAATCGGCGCGGCTTGGCCTTATAGGGCTCGGCAAAGATCAATTATCCGTCGATCTGATTCGGTCACCGCGTGTAAGAGTAGGCGAATAATCACTCCATATGGTTAATGCGAGGAGTCTAGAGTCTTCGATGGGTAGCAGGTTTGTGACGCTTGTCTGCTAACGGCGAAGTCAGCCGAACTTCTACAAAATATAGCGGGTTAGTTGGTAAATATGTTGGAATTTATTGCCAAAATTTAAAAATCAAATATATACTTTTTTTTTTTTTTGGGAAAATTTGGGGCAAAGCCCATATATTTCATTAAAAAAAGGGAATACATCTCAGAAAAAAGAAACTATGAAATTACAAGTAACATTGCTATACCCCCAAAACCAAAAAGGAAGTATAAAAAATGGAGAAACAAGGGACTCAGAAAATTAAGGACTACACTCAAGCCATCATGACTGGAAAAAGGCAAGATCCAGATGACAAAATTTCTCGTTGTAGCTACGATGGTGCACTGGTTGCCACAAGGTCGAAGGAAAAACCAAGGACCCTCACAGTGTCCCAGAATTCGGTAATAACGTAAGAAGTCATCAGCATAGAATCTCCCCGGTTGCCAAGAGACCATCCAAAAGGGAGAAGGGTGTAGCCTTGGCTCATCATCGTCCAATTCTCCCAAAACTTCAAGAAAAATTTCTGGGACATCATCAGCCAGCCAAAATAAACCTGAAAATGATCAGTCCAAAAGCAGTTCCTCAGCATATCGAATTCCATAAACAAAAAACTCCTCCGAGAACTTCTCAACCACCCGTAATACTTGCACATAAAGAGGATCCACATGAACACATGAACAGCATAAGAGGAAAATACACCTGGGGTAAGACCCAAGTCGAACTAGCCTAGAATACGACCGAATAATCCCTCCAGTTTCTCTTTAAACTTCTAATTGTCAATTTTTTTTCTTAACAGCATTGCAAATAACCTCTTAACATTATCAGGATTTCTCCAAACATTAGCAAATCTCCTTTGATTACGTTCACACCAGAGGAAGTAAACTGTAGCCGAAATGGCTAGAGAGCGGAAATTTTTTTCTAAGGCAGAAAAGTGAGGTTTGCTCCAAAAGTATTCATAAACTTGAAAAAGGTTAGGTCTTAAATAAAAGAATTTAATATCATACAGCATCATAGATAAGACCAAAAAGGAGAAATCACAAGCGAAAAACAGATGGGAATGAGTTTCATTATGCCCCGAACAAAAACTACAAGAAGGGTTAGCCTGAATCCCCCTAAAAATAAGAATGTCAGCACATTTGAGCTTCCCAAGAATAGCCATCCACGCATAACACCCAAACCAGATAGCATGCCTTTTATGCCAAATATATTTGCACCAATCCACATTATCCAAATCAGCATAATAATGAGTAATAAAAAGTTTAAAAACAAATTTATAGGAACTGTTCCAAACCAAGGCTTCATTGGACTCCTCAATACCAATGTTAAGAATGATAGAAATAATATCCGAAGGCCAAGACATAGGGATATACCAAGTTCCATTCAAAATTATATCTTTAACCCTTAAACCAGCCAAGAGTAGCAGAAAAAGCTTTTGCTTAAAGAATCACCATTGAATCAAGGATCCCAAAGGAGGGAAAAATTACAAATAGGTGAAACAGTTAAGGAAATGTCCTCCTTAATGAGCTGAACCTTGACGCAAATAAACTTCCAAAATTTGGTAGCCGATGGAGTAGGAAGCTTCCAAGGCGATTCATACTTTTCAAAAAAACATAAACTCATCACAGAATTAGCATTGAACAAACGCCAAATGAAGGAGCATGCAACACCATGATAAAGTGCATCAAAGGATGGAATACCCGGTCTACCTTTAATTTTAGGAGTAGAGACAGTTTTCCAAGAGATAACATGCATCTTTTTATCAGAGATATTGACAAAAAAGAGAAACTTAGCACACATCTTGGAAATAATCTTTTGGCACTTTTTAGGTATAATGGCACCCCTAATCCAGTAGGCAATAGTGTTGACAATAGTGAATTTAAGAAACTGCACTCTACCTGCAAAAGAGAGAAATTTGACTTTCCAACCCTCAAGTAGAGCTGAGATTCTGCTAAGAAGGGGTTGGAAGTGAGAAAATTTAAGTCTTCGGGAAGTGATAGTAAGACCCAGGTAGGTGAGGGAATCCTCCAAATTAGAAATCCCAAGAAAGGAAGCAAGCTGATCAGCATTATGAAGCTTCTTTGAGAAAATAATAGAGCTTTTTAACATATTGATATGCAAACCAAAGGCTAGGGAGAAGAGATGGAGAATGTATTTGAGGCGGTCGAGATTAACCATCGAAGCTTCACCAAAAACCAAAAGATCATCAGCATACATGAGATGAGTGAGACAAAAAAATTTATGCTTAAGACCCAAGAAAGAAGGTTGCTGATGATTGAGGATACAATGAGACAATCCATCCATAGCAATACAAAAGAGCAAAGGTGACAAAGGACAACCTTGACGGAGTCCAGAAGAAGACCTGAAAAAACCTTTCAAATAACCATTAAGGCAAATGGAGAAGTGAACATCATAAATGCACCCCATAATCCATTTAATGAAAATGTCGGGGAAACCTTTAAGCCTTAATCTGTCAAGGAGAAACTCCCTAGAAAGGGAATCAAAATCTTTCTTGATGTCAAGTTTAGCACAAAAAACCTTATGGTAACCATTAAAAAGCTTATGCACTTCAACAGCAAGAATGATATTGTCAGTAGAAATCCTATTAGCAATAAAACCACATTGGCTCTCATGAATAATGTGAGGCATGATAGGCTTAAGCCTGCAAGCAATAATCTTTGCAATGATTTTATAAAAAACATTGCAAAGAGAAATGGGTCTAAAATCAGTAATGGAAGAAGCGTGAGAACCTTTGGGAATCAAAGTAATTGCCATAGCTTTAGCCCCTTTAGGCATGCTGCCATAAGTAAAGAAGTATTTAACAGCAAGACAGAGATGGTAGCCAATGATGTGCCAGGATTGTTGGTATAAAGCAAAGGAGAAACTGTCAGGACCAGGGGGGACCAGGGGCCGAGCAAGCTTTACCAGCAAAAACAACCTCTTTAATCTCTTTATCAGTAATTGGAGTAATTAAGGACTCCAAAAATTGGGAAGGAACCTTATCCCCCACCGGAATTGTGCCAAAAGAACCCCAGCCACCATAGGAGCATTAAAAAGGATTTTAAAGTAATCCACAAAAGCATCAGCAATGTCTCTATGAGTAGTGAGAATACCCCTAGGAGAATCAATCTCCTTAATATTATTTAAGTTCTTTCTAGACCTGATCTTGGCATAAAGGAAGCCAAGATCATCTTCCTCCTGTGAAAGCCAGTAGGCTTTAGATCTTTGAGCAACCCAAGAAGCCCAATTCGCTTGCAAACTAGAAAAAATGTTTTAATTGAAAATTTGAGGACTCAAATTGTTAAAAAAGTTATTTAAAAAAAACATTCCAAACAAGTTAAGATTTTGTTTGGGATAACTTTTGACAATTGCTTTTGCAAAACTTAAAAATATATATATACAAAAAAGTTACTTTAAAAGCGGTAAAAAACTATTCCAAACAAAATTAGTGGGACAACTTTATTGTTGCTTTATAAAGTTATTGTAGATACAATAACTTTTTAAAATGTTCTAAAAAGTAACTTTTTAGAATAATGGTTTTTTAAAAGCAAGAAAAAATAGTTGTGAAACATAAATTTTAATTGCAGTTTGAAAATTTTTAGTTCTAAAAATTTATGTATTAAAATTTTGATTTAGGTTTTGTTTGGTACAATTTTTTTTTCTGATTCTTAAAGCATATTCCTAGTACTAGGAAACTGTTTTAATGAGCATTATGAAATATGTCCCAAACAAAATCTTAGAAAACAGTAAAAAATAGTCCCAAATGAAGTCTCAACCATCAAACTTTACACAAATGCGAAATATTGGCAGCATTGGGCCAGAGCTGAAGCTCAATTATGTTATATTTGAACATGAAATACAATGCATAAACAACCAAAAGCCTCTCTCTTTTTTTTTTCCATTTGCAGTTTCAGATCTTTTTTGACTGAATTTCTCGTTGTTTTGTTTCTCCGACAACAATTATAATTTTATTTAATTGTTCTTTTTTCTTATTACTTTCTTACTACTTTTAAAAATTTCCTGTGGCATAGTTATTTTCTTAAACAAAATAATAAATTATTTTTGCTACAATAATTTTATAATCAATTTTATAAGACAGTACACCCATCTCAAATAGGATTAATTACTGTAAACAAATCAGGACGCATCACATCAATTTTTTGCTGTGTATCGAATGACGTGACTCATTATGATTTATCTCCGAACGATCCAATGAGTGTACAGAATAATAGACCCTTAGATGATATTTGATGTTATGCAACAATATGAAAGCCCTGGAGAAATAACTATGTATATAAAGTAAAATAACATAAATCAGAATATTCTAATATAATTCAAAGAAAATAAGAGTAAAAAATCATTAAATTTATTTTGAAATTAAAGAGCCATATATTCTTCACATATAAGATTAATTTTAAAATGAATTTAATAAAATATTTTTCAGATTAAAATTCAAATTCTGCCTGCATCAGAATTATGTCTCAGCGCTTACCATTCACAGAAAATTTAAAAAACATAAATGAAGTCTGCTACATGTCAAGAATACGGCGAATTATTGCGTCCGGTCACCGGATGTCCAGACATCCAATCCAGTGACGCCATGTCACTCAAATACACTGGGTCCCGGTGTATTTTGGTGACGTGACGACACCGGATTGATGTCCGAACAAATCCGGACACCAGACGCAATAATTTGCCCAAGAATACAGACTTACAAAGATTCCTAGGTATGATACAATTTTAAGCAGCAGAAATTTTCTAATCAAAATAATGAGTCAGGAAATTATTTGAAATAGAAAAAATGATTAAAATAGTTTATTGACTCGTTACGAAGGATCAAAATGATATTCAACTATATTAAAGAACCATTTTGATCTCTTAAATTTTTAAAAAGAATCAGAATAATCTCAAGGCGAGACTATTTTGATTCCTCTGTAAAAAATTTAGGGATCAAAATGATCATTTAATATAATTGGACACCATTTTGATCTGTCATAAAAAATCAATGAATCATTTTAATATTTTTCTCATTTGAAATATAATCATGGAAGTCTGAATCATCATTCAATCATAATTTAATCATAGAAGAGTGCAATCTCATTAATTCAATGATAATGACTACAAATAATATCCTAAGTGAGGGGTAAAACACCCTTCATGAAAGATATAAACAATCATAAGGGAGGAATATCAAGTTCTTAAGATAGCCCTCAATCCTCTAGACTAAATCATCATTATAAGCAAATGCTACCATTTTTCGCATCCCTCCATTGAAGATTGAATTGCGAGTCTTTGACATCTAACCCATCGGCCACCTAATCTTCTGATCATCGCTATCAGCAACCATCACCACTATGATCAGACTACTTCGCATTAGATCCTATAAGCCTTACCTGTCATCACCAATGTTTTGAGAGTAAGAATAAACCATACTGATGAAACATAATATTTATTATTTTGATTTCAAATATTTTAAAATATGAACCATGTTATGATGCATTTAATTAAAAAAATATTAGAAAAAAAAAAAGAATATCCATTTATGACATAGGCCATCCTTGATCAACATATAGATAAAACAAATAGAGTTTAGTCATGTAAATAAAACAAGTCTTAAACTAATCAACATCATGGAACTTAGTACATAATTTCACCAAAATATCAGCCTTATAGCAACCAATACAGTCATCATGATGGAACTTATTAGTAAATACATACCAACAAAAAAAAAGTTTAACTACAATTAAGTGTAACCAATTGTAACATCTGAAGATCAAGAAGATGTGCACATTTTTTTGTCAATAATTTACTTTGGATGAGTGCCAAGGCTCTTGGTATGTCCTCCGAATAGATGCAGCAGGCAAACACAAAACAAAATAAGATTACAATAGATAGTTAGTACCTTGGCGTTTATTTCTATGGAGAGCAAAAGGAAGATGTAGATTTGACGACTCAATGAGAATAATATGCTCAACAATATTTGACAAGATGAAAGAAGGGGGCTACAAAAGGAGACCGCCGAGACTTGTGGACAAAAACCTATAACGGGGGGTAAGCGAGCGTTTGGGTCAAAGGAAATAGAGATATGGCCAAAAGAGTCTTCGTAAAAGAAAGGATGATAGCGAAATAAGCATTGATCCATGACACAAACATTGACACAAATATACAAGTTTCCAATAGAAGGATCATAAAATGGATAACCTATTTTAGTAATGAGAATAACATAGAAAGGCATACTAAATAGCACGAAGGAATAGCTTGTCACTACCTCAATAAAGGGAATACTCAAAGAAGTGTGGGATTAAATGAAAGAAGAATTATATGGGTAAAAAAATACAATAAGGGATTGCTTGGTTTGCTAAAAAGAAATGCAAAATACTCTTTTTTCAAGAAAAATTAAACTTTGATGTTTGGTTTGCTGAAAAAGGATAGTGTAAACTGTAAAATGCCAATGAGTTTCTTTTTCACTCCCTAGTTCATTTTTTATGTATTTTAAAGTCACCTAATTTTGACTGAATTTCTTTTATATCGCAAGCTAACTATATTTTCGCCACTCGCCATCACCACCATCGACCCTCTACCCGCCAGCTTCCTTCCACCTGCCGGTCATCGCTATATCTATACGACCACCAGCCCCCGGCTACCACTGAACACTACCAACCACCGCCATCATTTTACTTTATATTGCATTTATTTTACTTCAAGTCAAACAAAAAAAAAAGGTAATCTTATGCATTCATTTTACACTCATTCAAACAATTTCAAATATTTTGAATACACTACATTACTTTTATATTGTATTCATTTTTCAGCAAATCAAATAACCCCTAAGTGACATACCATCAAATAACACTCCTAAAATTGATGAGGGCCATGCATTGAAAGATTAAGATACAAATAATATCAAAAAAATAATGGTGCTTATGCTTAGCAATCCCATTTTGTTGAGATTCATATGCACAATGTCATTGTTGACAAAATTTTGAAATTAAGATTACATAAATTCAATGTGATTAGAAAATTGAACTTTAATTTCTTAATAAAATAATTTAAATATGAATAAAATAGCTAAATGGTAAACTCAACTGACTCTAGTGTAGTTAACAATAAAAATAAATAAATAGCAAAAACCACAACAAATGGTAACAAGACTTTGTTCCCATATGCCAAAGTGAAAAGAGTGCCACAAATATAACTCAAATGTTGTGAGTCTTGCTTAACCAATGCATAGACAAAAAATTATATATAACTATTGTTGGGGGGTGGGGGTGATCATTTTCCAGAGACCAAAGGAAAATTGTCAATAACAATATCAGGCAAGAGAGGAGTTATTCTCAAGGAAGAAAATAATTATCGATCACGTCATATGGGATGAACAACCTCAATAGCTAAAGACCAAGTCCGATTAGTCATAAGATAGAAGTAAAGGAAAAGAGAGTGTGTTAGGCGCCAACAAATTAAATTGGATTTGAATAAAGTACAACAACAATGCGATAATAAGAAACTTCGAAGAACATACTAGAGACAATCATCGAAGAGGCAGAAAGCTCAATGAACCAAATGCAGCACCTACAAAAAGGGCAGCAAGCCAAAATGGCCCTTCACAGAATATACATCCACCCGAACGCCCTCCCAGCTAACCAGTTTCAACCTTTCGTCAACGGCTCAGTCCAATAAGGTTAGGGTCTTCGTTCCAGCATCAAGCAATTGAATTAATAAATAAGTTTTTAATATTTCTGCTTTTCTTTTTGTTAGCCCAGCCAATCCAAACCTGAACTAAAACTGGTTCAACCGCCCTTGTTGTATAAATAAGCCTAAAACCTATTGTAATGTTTTTCATAGAATAAAATTTCCGCTCTGTTTCTTCTCTTCTTCCTCTTCCCAAGAAGTTTGCACCTAATCTAAAGGTGTACGTTCCTTTTTCAGTCATCAAGAAGCAAAACAGTTGGTGCTCTCGTTCGTTCCTCCGTTCGCCTGTCTCGTTCGATTCATTTGATCCTTCATTTGTCTTGTTTGTTCAATCATTCCCTCCCTTCTTTTGATTTGGCCATTCGTCCATGCTTTCGATTCGCTCGATTCGTCAGTTCGATTCGACCGTTCGTCCCTTCATTCAATTTGTTTGTTCTTCCAGGCAAAGAAATCCGATCTCGTCGATACCTTGCATGCAATGCAAACCAATCAAGATTTGCAGTTTGCTGAAATTCAGAAATCTTTACATCAAGCTGATGGACAATTCGCTTCTATCAGTACTACTATATAACAATTTTTTTTTCATGGATTCAATGGACAAAAGGCTAGCTAGCTTATGCACCGATTGTTCCATTCCCACCGGCCATCAAAACTCACCGTCCACCGCCAACATCTTGGGATCAACGGCTAGGAATTTACTGCCCACATCTCCTTCAAACGTTTCAGGCTTTCCCTACCTTAAAACTATGAAAATCGATCTTCCAGGTTTTAATGGCATGGAAGTCGACACTTGGATCTATAAAGCACATGAATATTTAGATTTTCTCAACACCCGGATTGTCATCGTGTTTGTATTGCTTCTTTTAATCCTGAAGGTCCCACGACCAGTTGGTATCAATGGCTAAGAATGAAAGGCCAAAACCATTTATGGGCCGAATTTACATTTTCTTTACAACAAAGATTTGGTATTTCATCTTTTGAAGACTATAATACCCAAAGTTTTGTCAAATGTAAGCATGAATTTTCTTCAAACTAACAGCATATCCATATTTAAACTAGGAGCTCAATAATATATTTTTATTTTCGTCTCAGTTATAGGCATTTCAATTTCACATTTTATTAACTGTAGTTATCATGACTTATTGCAAGAAACCAATCAACCATTTGTTTAAATGCATCACTGTAGCAAATCCACTTAAAACAATATGCAGAGGCTAGATGTAATCATACGACTGGGAGTAGAGGAAATTGCGGTAGTGGAAATTTGTGGCAGAGCATTAGTATTAGTTTAGTATTATATAATAATAAGTTAAAACCTTTACATTGGCTTTCATTTTTTTCCTACCCGACATTCTCTAGAGGCAGCAAGGCCAGGGAGCTCAAGCTGTGGGCTGTTAAGGGGAAGTGAAGTTGCTGTTGTAGAGAAAAAAAAATCAGAAAATAAAAGAAGGGAGAATGAGAAAAGAGAGGTGCGGAAAGTATTTTGAATGGAATGAAAAAGAGTTTAATTGAAGTGGTATACAAAAAGAGAAAGAATCGGCATACTTTAGGTGAACCAGTTTACCCCACTGTTTTGGAAGACGAGATGAGATACCCAAACGAGACTATAAGAATTAGTAAATGTTCTATTATTGCACTTCATCTTTATTTTATTTATGACCGCATTTATTTCAGTTTACCTTAGTTTGTTTTGTATGAACATGGACAAACATGTATGAAATTGTTTATACATAGAGTGATCTTTATAAACATAAAATGATAAATACTTATAAACTAACGAATGAAAAAAAAGGGTAGAAAAAGGGCATTTTAAGGGCGGCTAAAAGCTAGCAAAAAGGCAATTTAAGCTCGGCTAAAGGGAAGCAAAATGGCAACTAAATGGCAGTTAAAGCGCAGCTAAATGATAGCTAAATGACAACTAAAGGGCAACTAAAGCGCAGTTAAAGTGCAGCTAAAGCGCACCTATGTCATCAAATCATATGTCATTAGGGCTAAAAAGGATGAGTATATAGAAAGTGAAATAAATTATATATGGGGAATAGGTCCGCACAAGTAAAGGTGAAAGACTCGGAGAGGTATGCCTACACTCTCAATTCTAGAAGTTGGGAAAATTGGACTCAACCCTGAATGAGATAACAACTTCTATTTTAAAAGTTTGGAAATTAGACCCAACTTTGAATTGGAAAGCTGAAAATATGCAAAAGCTTATAGTCATTATATGACTTGTTTAAAGGTGTTGAACAGTTTTGGCAAGATGAATAATAATGCTATGCACTTTTTAGGCTCAATATGACATTTTAATATGTGTTTTAATTATGTTAGCATTATTAAGCATTTTAATTGTTTATTATTATTTCTTATAAATTGCTTGTGTATTTCATTAAGCCTAACTCATTAGCAGTGGTTGTACTACAGGAAAAGGGAAGGATCCCTTGAGACTATAAAAAGAGGTGACCTTTCTTTAGTGTAAATATGTTTTGGTGTACAAAGAGATCTTAAAGGAGATCTGAATGATAATTGTATAGACTTTTGGGTATGTAAATAAATTTTAAAAGTTTTAGTAGAGCTTTGTATTAACTTCAATTATATTGGATGTTTATTAAGGGACATTACATGCTTCTCATTATTAATTATGAAATTTGATAGGTTGGCAAGTTAGGAGAGTCTAAATAGATTCCTTTTACTCGCTCTATTCTGAAAGTAC